GGTCAAGGTGTACAATTACCATGCCATTTTTTTCTATTTGTTTTCTGTCATTTTAATAAAGGATATAATAAAAGGTCAAGCTTTTGTTTAAGCCTATTTTTTAAAGTTTGTTCGCTTGTATTTATAAACACTACAGTGTATATACAATATTTATAGTCTACATTATTTTTTCGAAATAATTTACCTTCAGACTATAATATGGTGAAATTGTTTTCACTAAGTTTAACCAATATAATATTTTTTTATTTTATTAAGGTCAATCATTGACCATTTCTTTTTTGCTTTTTCATTGTTAATTAAGAAATCACAGCTTATTAAACTCTTTAATTCCAATAAAAACATAACCCAAGGACATTGTTTCCCAAGTCCGAGTCTGTACTTAACTTTACTTTTATAGATACAGAATGTAAAAATAGATAGAATTTCATTTGTTCGTTCAGCATAGCATCCTTGGACAATTTTATTCCATTCTATTTTTTCATTTATATCAAAATTGCATATTTGTAACATACGATAAAGTTTTACCCAACATAATTTTATATCCTTACATTTGAATAACATATGTTCTTCATCCTCCTGTATATTGCAAAACTCACAAAGATTGTTGTTTTTTAGATTTTATCAATTTTAGGTAATGTATCGTCATTAATAATATAGCTAGTTGGTGTTTTATACACCATTTTGCATGTCTCATCTGTTTATGTATTTGTTGTAGTGTATAGATTTTAAAAATATTTTTAAAATTTTAAGTGCCTGATGGTTTTAATGTCTGTTCCAAGTTTGTCTCTTGCCTTTTTTAATGTCTCTTTTTTTGAATTTGTAAAATTGTAACAATTCAGTCTTTAATACAGTACTGCAATTACAATTATTTTTGAATAAAATACCTTTATGAATGAATTATCGCACTGGAAATGATACGTATTGAAGATGTTGTAGAAGGCTATTTTTTAAAACATATAAAATTTCAATATGTGCATAATTGTCTTGTGCATTTTTCAATTTTAATAGTAATATTATAAAAACAGGTAAAATTACCCTGCTGGTGTACCTCTACCCTTGTGCCTTAAAATTTAGATATAAAACCTAATTTAGCACTATGAAAGCAAGCATAATTTCAGTATAGGATACTGCCCAGGCCTACTACTACCACTAGACCATCTAAATCTTGAGGCTCTTAGTATTAGACCTCAGTAAACCAGTCGTAGGCCTAGACTAGCCTAGGTACTACTGAAGCTACTAGGCCTAGCCTAGGCGCACTTCCACAGTTTAAGTCTAGATCGTGTAGGTAAGATTCTGTGTATTAATTTATAGTTGAAATGAGCAATTTTTTTCATATGCATCATTGAATTTTAACATTAATAACTTCATCAGAAAATGGAATCCTGTTTTCAAGCCACGAGTTATTTTCTTTAGAAACCCGGCAAACACGTGTTTACGTTTTTCTAACGTTCTTGGCCAATGTTGTGCTTAGATATGTTACAAAATAACGTTTACACAACGTAGGAACGTGCAAACTTTGTGAAATTATGTTCAGTACGTATTTATGGTTCTACAAAATAAAGTTTTCAACACAAAACTGTAACGTTATTGTCACGTTATCATAACGCATTATTGTTTACTGGGAAGGTCGTTACTACTCGCGTATATGTAGCTCAACTCTCCTTAAGTTGAAACAGGAAGCTTTTCAAAGTCTTGGATGTCTTTGAATAAAGTTAAAAACAATTGACGCCAAAGATATAGGCCAGCTTGTAGATATCATCTTCATTATGATATATGATATTTGGATTATTAGGCTGCTCAAAAAAAAAAATAATAAAGTGTACAAACAGCAACAAAACATTAGAAGATTTGCTACTGTTTAAATCACAAGCAGTTTGTCAATTTTTGGAGTGCTTTTCCCACGCTTTGCATGAACTGGTTGAGTAGACGCGCGTACATCCCTCTGATTTGTGGTTTGCTCTAATTAAATTGTGTCTCAATTTACGAAAACAAGACTGATAAAAGTGCGTCTAGCTCGCGAAGTTGCAAAAAGTAGCAGCTAAATTTGGTACAAACATAAAGCTAAGGCTATACTGAAGATGGTGATGTAAAAATTAAAGAATGAATCTACATGAATCTAAACTTTCTCCTACTTTTCTAAAAATAGTTTTTTAAAATATTTTTTCTGTCGTTTAAACAACGATTTATTATTGATGCAAACTTCAAATTTAAACCAAAACATACCGTACATTTGTGTTCCCCAATTTATATACAAGAAACATATACATTTTGAAGTAATTCCGAATATTCTGTAAGAAAAAAAAAACGTGTTTTGATATAATGTAGAAATTTCCGACATTTGTTGAAAAATACCACCCTTAAGATTATTTTAAATGTAAAATATTTTCAGGATAGATTCACCAGGGTATACCCTTCTTCAATCATGTGAAAAAAGTGTAAAAGCCATAGTCACGAAAATGGACTTTTGGCACACTGATTTCGCCCTGGCCCACTGTAGGGCGGCGCTAGCGGTGGTCCAGAGGGATGAAGGACCACTGTCGGGAACCTGGAGCCTTCGCTTGGACCTCCCGGTCGGAGAATTTCCAGCAAGGTCGTCAAGGAATAATCAAATCTCGAGCGCCGAAATTATCCTGTTTAAATAAAGAATCCCATATTAACACCAGGGCCGGCCGGCTGAACGTTTTTCAATGTGGGGGGGGGGGGCACTTATAAGGTGAATGGGAATATGAATCATGCAGATCTGTAATCAAACCTAGGTGGGGTGGGGTCAACATTCCTCCCCCGGGAAATGACCTTTCTCGACTTTTGAGCTAGGTGTCTAATGACCTTGTTCTTCAAAATTCAAGGTTTTTCCCCCTCTTGAAAACGGTAATGTAAATTTGTTCATTACAGTAAATAGGCCTGTTATGTGTGTATACATACATTTAAAAAAAAATGAGTAGTTGCATACGTATTCTTTTTTCAATGAATCGATAAGCTCCAAAGGAAAATTTTGATTCCTAGATGGCGGAAAATGAGTTTTTTCTCGACTCATGAGGTGTCTTAATTACTTCAAAATCCAAGGTTTCCCCTCTTGAAAACGGTCAGGTAATTTTTCCCATTGTTATTACAGTAAATAGGCCTTACTGTATGTGTGTATACGAATTTTCCATGAATCGATGAATGCCAAAAGGAGAGGGAGGTCCGCGGGTTCTCCCCCGGGAAAATTTTGATTCCTAGAAGGCGGGAAATGAGTTTTCCCGACTTCTGAGGTGTCTTTTAATCACTTATAAGTTATTCAAAATTCAAGGTTTTCCCCTCTTGAAAAGTATTATAATGAATCAATGAACCGTAAGAGAAAAGGGAGGTTCAGGTTCTTCCCGGGAAAATGTTGATTTCTAAATGGTGGGAAATGAGCTTTCCCGACTTCTGAAGTATCTTTCAGTGACTTTAAAAGTTCTTCAAAATTCAAGGTTTTCCCCTCTTTAAAACGGTCAGGTAAATTTTTCCCATTGTTATTACAGTAGATAGGCCTTATGTGTGTATACATATGCCTACATAAAAAATTGAGTAGTTGCATACGATTTTTTTCCATGAATCGATACATCCCAAAAAGAAACGAGGTTCGGGGGTTCTCCCCCAGGAAAATTTTTATTCCTAGAAGGCGGGAAATGAGCTTTCCCGACTTCTGGAATGTATTTTAATGACTTTTAAAGTTCTTCAAAATTCAAGGTTTTCCCCTCTTGAAAACAGTCAGGTAAATTATTCTCATTTTTTATTTTGTGTGTGTATACATACATAAACAAATGAGTAGTTGCATGCGTATTCTTTTTGCCATGAATCGTAAGGTAAGGGGGTAAGGAGGTTACGTTAAAAACGAAAAATTGATATTCGTAGATATGTTTACAATGTTCTCTAGAGTATCCGAGATGATACAAGCCAAAGGGTCCACTTCCACTGAAAAGAACCTCACAAAAGTCACGTTACGTGCCTGCACGTGCATGCAGTTTTGCAAAATTTTTTGCGTCGTGTTCAATTATTACGGTAGTAATTAATGGGCCCACTTTTGTGTATGTTTTTTTTGTAATGTAATGTTTGAATGAAAAAGTACGAAACACTTTTTTCCTCGTCGTAGGCCTACCAGCCCCTTTTTTATATTATATATATATATATTTCGGGCTTTCAAAATTTTAACATCTTAATTTTATTGTTTGATTTGATTTGAAAGAAAATAAAGGTTTATTTGAATTGAATGGAATGAAAATGAATTGTTTTTGATTTTTCAACACAAAATTTTAGCCCAAAAAGGCTTTTGCGAGTCAAAGTGTGTGTGATACTGTGAAGTACTCTTGCTTAAAATTTAGCGCGCTTACGTTATTTTCGGATGTGTTCGGATGAATTCGGCTAACATTCACTGTATTTTTATTGTATTGCATGTGTGTCGTAGTAGGCCGACCGTGTGGGTGATTCAGCAGTCGAGCGAAGCCTTCGCCCAATCGCCAGGAGTAAGCTGAAAGAAACTGTACTAGGTGAGTACAAAATGGCGACTGTAGCGGCGTGGCAACCTGAACCTGCTGGACTTGAACAAATTGTACAGTTATTGAAAGAGTCTCAGAGCCCCACAACAGAGGTGCAGCGAGCTGTACAACAAGTATCCTTTCTGTGGTCTATAAATATTGAGTAACCTCTCTAACCTAGTCTAAATATTCTTTATTTAGACTTGAATTGCCCAGTCTAGGCTAGGCCCCTAGGCCTACCTACGGGCCTAGTCTAGGCTAGTAGTAGTAGCGAACAGAATCATCGCACATTTTTTTAACAATGTCAATAAATATATAGGGCCCTAGGCATAGTACACTGTGGTAGTAGGCTAGTAGTAGACTGTAGCGTAGTCACGTTCCTCCGTATGAATGATACATTCACTCCATTAAATCTAGGCCTAGCCTACAGTAAGCTTCTTAGGGCCTAGCCTAGGCTAGGCTAAGCCCTAGCCGAAGCTAGGTAGGCCTAGGCCGAACTTTTACTGTGTTTAACATTTTTAACCGTTATTAATTAAAATAACGTAAACAAATTCTCTACACTAGGCTAGACTATAGGGCTACACCAGTTTTGCTATGATACAGTAGTATATGATAAATAGGGTAAAAGTCATCTAGTTTTTGACTGACCTTAGCTTAGTTTTCGACCACCCCATTTTCCACCCCCAGATTTTGTAACGATTTTTTAATTATCCATTTCTAGGTCACTGGTAAAGTGCTGTTGTTTTATCGCACTGACCCTTGAACAAAAGGTATCTTCAAAAAACAACTTTTTTTCAAATTATGAATTCATATTTTTATGAAATATGATATTTCCAAGTGAGATTAATAATATGGTGTCTTATTACAGCTAAAATTGATTAATTTAGCGTGGCGAAATCCATCCCATGTTTATATTTATTTAAAAGAAAATTTTATTTTAAAACCTTTGAGATCGAAACATGGCCGCTGTCGCCTGGCTTATACAGTAGCAAAATAAAACAAAGCAGTTACGGTATGTTACAGGGCAAAGGTTGGGGACATAATTTAACATCATATGTTTAATTGTATGCAGGGTTTGTATGCGTCCTTAAATTCCTTGAATGTCCTGGAAAACCAAATGAGCATTTTCCAATACTGGAAAGTCCTGGAAATTTATGATTGTCCTTGTATTTCCTGGAAATTTGATCATTTACCATTTATCCAGTACTGCAAGTTGCCTAGTAATAGTAAATTAAATGAGAAACATTCCCACAAGTAGGTACCCACGATTCTCTTGGGAAAAGCAGGGCAAGTCTTTGTACGCTGCCAATTCAGGAATGGCAAAGGTTGGGGACATAATTTAACATCATATGTTTAATTGTATGCAGGGTTTGTATGCGTCCTTAAATTCCTTGAATGTCCTGGAAAACCAAATGAGCATTTTCCAGTACTGGAAAGTCCTGGAAATTTATGATTGTCCTTGTATTTCCTGGAAATTTGATCATTTACCATTTATCCAGTACTGCAAGTTGCCTAGTAATAGTAAATTAAATGAGAAACATTCCCACAAGTAGGTACCCACAATTCTCTTGGGAAAAGCAGGGCAAGTCTTTGTACGCTGCCAATTCAGGAATGTTATCAAAGACAGAAAGATTGTCAAATGCTGAAAATGTCTGACTGGCTGATTCAGTACAAACTTGCACGATTCAATGATTGGAGTTGTTTGCCAATATTTTAGTAAAGTGGTGTTTTCTTAATCTTGTATATTAATTATGTTTACATGTAATTTTATGTTTCAGACATCAATAATCATAATCAACTAATTTGTTGATATCTGCTATGGTGTTTATATTTGCTTTCTGTTGTGTGTTATAAACAGTAATATTAAACTTAAGCTCAATCAGTTGAACAGGTCTTGTTGCACATGTGCTCAGTACTACAGCCCTGTGGATTCGCTTTGGGTATTTCATCCCTCTCTAGACGTGCACACTTGTTCTGCACGAATGGGCATGTGTTGGCCCTATCGAGTGCAAGGCAGTTAATTAACAATTAACATTTACCAAGGGAACGTGTACTTCTACAGTTATTTTCTTAATGAAGGGCATTCTTTGTCTAAAGGGCGTTTACAGTTAGTCCTTGATTTTAGACCAAGGTATTTTGTTAATTTGTTTCTGAATTACAAAATCATTAAAAAAAAAAACACAATGCCGGTCGGCAGCTTATCAGTGCCGGTAGGATGGGAACTAAGGATTAATAATAATAAGTGTAGGAGTAAAAAAAGATGTTTATTTTAAATCTACCGTTGTTAGATTCCAACGATTATTCAATCAACTTCCAGACACTATCAAGGAACACCTGGTTATTGTCCGATAAAAACAAATTTGTGTAGGGCCTAGAGTGGGATCAGAACGCTTAGAAGCTGCCTACTGTGGGGCCTAGGCCCCCTCAGACCTAGCTGCGTAGGCCTGTAGGCCTAGCCTATGCCAGTGTAAGTAGTACCAGTGCAAATATATAGGAATTTGGGTAAACCCCGATTTTACGAATACCCGCATTTACGAATGGCTCTGGGCCTGTGCCATACGTAAATGAGGGGTTTTACTGTATTGGTTGGGACTACTCTCGATGGTGTTTTGTTACTCCCAGGTTTCCCGGGGGCCAATGGTGAGGGGTTTTTTTTTTGTGTGTTCGATTTAATTAAATGGCCTTTGTGCTTGTATGTTTTTATCATGTTGTACTGTACCCGAATAAATAAAATTGGCCAAATAGTAATAAATAATAATAAGCAGTTAGTAGAGCTCCGCATAGGACACTATAGGGAAATTATTATACGAAGGTTAGATTTAATGCTTGAAAAAATTTCCTGCAGGCCTGCAAGGCCCAAAGGAAATTTTTGAATGCATTAAATCTAACCTAAGTATAATGATTTTTCGTTATAAGCCAATCGCCGTCCATTAATGTTAATTTTTATAACCAACTGTGTTGTACCAGTCATCGGTTGCTATAGTGATATGATCAGTATACTGTGTGCGTATTTATATTTTGTGCATATGCTGATATGTGCTCGTGCAGTAGGCCTACGCCTTAACTACACATCAGCAGTCTGTGTACAGATACGATGAATAACAAGGCATAGGGCCTAGGCTATTTTGTAATTTGTATTGTGTTAGAAGAACTTGTTTGTAATTTTTCATATTCGTCAAAGAAATAAACATTTTCCAAAGCATTCGAGAGAGAATACAGTCACTGTCACTAACTTTTTGGTCAGTGCAGACAGGTAAAAATCTTCAATCTTCATCTTTCTTCATCTTGGGATGATTTCATAACTACGCTAGGCTATACAGCCTAGGCTAGTAGTAGGAGGAGGCCTCGGCGGCCTGCTGCCTGGCCGTAGGCCTACATCTAATTTCGTTCCTTGAGTCTTTAAAATAGGTCTAGAATATTCCTATTAAACGTGCATTTGTTTAGTTTATTAGGGTTTATTGATTCAAGGAATTGATTAATTGTTCATACTTAATATTGAATTTAACGCAACTTTCTTCGGGTTCTAATTAACCTTGTTTTACGAAAGTAATTTTCAATTACAATTAATTTAGTCACGGTGCGCGATATTTTTGCGGTGACGAAAAAATTAGGATTTTTTTTTATTATGCACACGAACCTAAAAAAATCAAGCCAAGCATCTACTAATTGGAAAATTTGTGGACTGTGGGGATAAGCAAATAACGTTAGGAGTTGCAGTGATTGGTGCATTCTGCTTTGTAATCAATGAGAGTGTGGAATTGCTGGAAGCAAGGCACAGGACATATAGGCTCGTTGCATTCCTTGCACATGTACTTCAGTTTGGTGACGCTTTACCGCTCTATTAGAACACACTACACAGTCAGGCTTGCTTTGTTTTCCGGCTGGAAAATTTCACTCAGTTAGCCGGCGGGGTGGAGCTTGCGGTCTCCTTCAAGCTCTAGAAGAAGTATGCGCATATCCGTGGAGTAGACCTTCGATGAACTCGAGACGCAGCAGACTTAGTATTAGGGTGGAAATGTCTGTAAATAAGAAGAGCATTAATAAAACTTACCTCCAAAAGATAGATGAAGATCTTCTTCCACCACTTCACGCTCTTGTGTATGTGCAGGTACGTCCATATCAGTCTATCAGCTTGGTCCACTCCTCCCATGTACTGGGTGTAAAGTTTGATGGCGCAGGTTTCGTGATTACCTGAAAGAAAGTGGATACATACTTTGACTTGGGATTCCAATCAAGAGGTTAGATAGGTTAGATGCAGAAAAATTAATATAATTACCTCAAAATTTTGTCCGTGTCTTTCTCTCCTACGCCTTCTCATATGTCCTCAAGTTGTGCAGGTTTGTCATGAGAGTCACCTTCCTCTTGTCCTTCCAGACAACGAACAGTTGATTTCCATTTCTCCTGAATACAGAGTCGCCGACAGCAGGATTCGCATTCTGGATGTCTGCTGGTGTTCCTATCCTATTCGCTCTCAGTGTACCACATGCACCACAACTTATATCCTGTAACTGAGTAAAAAGTTCTGGAGCAGAAAAATAATTATCCATATACTGTATACATGGTGATTCTTACCTGAAATAGCCCCACACAGGCCAGTAACTGTTCGCACAGTGATGGCTTGTCCTCCTAACTTGACATGCAGCTTCTGGTTGTAGACATAACCTGTTCTGGCATCACACAATGTCCAAGTAGTCATTCCCCACTTGTGTGGCTTCTTCGGATGATACGTCATGAACTCAACCTTACCTTCAAACGCAATGACACTCTCATCTACTGAAACTTCTCTAGAAGGACTGAAAGCAGATTGGAAGTTAGTAACAAGATGAGTCATAACAAATCTTACCTTGTATCCTCAGTCTGTCGTAGTCTGGATGGTCTTGGGCAGGAGCAGCATCAACATCTGAAGTGTGTAAACACCTAGACAAAACGGACCGATTTAGGCTTATGCAGACTACATTTGGCATGTAATTTTAAAGCCAAAATCGGTCCGGCGGACCAAAGACCAAATTTTACCTGACAGCCCATTTCTTGTGTTGAACTTTTTGATTCTCGAAAGCTGTAATACCTTAGCTTTTATGGTTACGAGTTGAGTGTTGCTTACACTTAAAAGCAAAAAAAAAAAATGTTTAGGGTCAATACATTCCTTAATTTGGAATAGTATCTCTTCCAACTGCTTTATTTTAACTTTTGAGTTTATAAGAATACTTGTCTTTGGTACCGAAATCACTTAGATTCATTGGACTTTTGTTTTCAGTAATTCTGGAATTCAGTGTGATTTGAAGCAGAAAAACACATTCTTACAAAATTTCTGCAGTGGTTGGTAATTACATTTTGAAGTATTTGTGTTTGATTTTTTTTTTTTTACTGGAGATTATGAATGTAGGCTACCCATGTCTTTTATGCCATATTTTTCAGTTCATTAACCTGCAATGATAAAGTATAGATGATGTTAAAGTTTGTCCTATAGTTTAAATATTTCTTTCAGAAACAAAATGACTTGGTGACCGTATTTAAGCTGAATGTGTACCTCTAAATCAACAGCGATCACTGCGCTGTATGTAGCGAGTCCTGTGAGTGAGCCTCTCAAAACTTCATATTTTTAGTGAGAGTGGAAATTTAAATCAAATCAACCTTATTTTCATGAATCTATGAATCATTCAAAAGTATACGTTATAAAAAATTATCTTCTATGCTAACTTCATTACATTTTACAGGGCTAGAAATTTACTTTTTCAGCCACTAGCAACCTATTGCTAAAATGTGCTAGTTGTTAAAAATGTAACTAGCAAAATGAGCTTCTAAATTAGTAAAATATATTGATACCAACTCAACATTTTATTTTTGGAAAATAAATTGTATGAAAATAACTAATGATGTACTTCTATAAATTTGTGTGTTAAATGTTTTAATATAATATTTTCTGTTATGGTGAGTGTAGTACACTAAATATCACAAAGAAATAGCCAAGTGAGTATAAAAAAT